TCTCGAAAATCACTTCTTTGAGTTTCTCTGTGAAGTGAGGGATCATCTCCTTCACAGTCTTCGAAGGTTTATATACCGATTTCAACAAGTTGTCGTCCGACTGATCCTTCTGTGGTTCAATGTTAGTAGGTAAGCCTGTAATTGTGATACCTAATGACAATAAATCACTCATATCTACTATGAGATCATAGTCTGGTGAAGTGTTACATATGACTGCCTTAGTAACTATAGTACGTTGGTCTGTCAATGTAAACCTAAGATCGATTGCCATTTCTCTGCAAGTGATCTCTCTTTCATCAGCCAGTTTCAACATAGTTGGCTCTGACTTACGAGTTACGTCTGTCATTTTACAAAATCTAGAGGATATACATGAAATTTGCGAGCCCGGATTCAGCAACGCTTTTATTTCATGTCCGTTAACTCGTATATCTAGGATTACACGCTCGTCCTGAGGTGCGTCTTTTTGTCTTAGTGACAAGACCCGGTATGTTTGTCACTTAACTTCAACCTTTGGTTGCACTTTGCATGTATGCTTGTGGTAACCTCCAGTCCCGGTACAGTCGGCACACTTCTCGATAAAGTGCTTGCACTTGTCTGCGTGCCTTCCAGTCCATCTGCCATTCGGCTCATGTTGGGTCATTCGCCAATTGCAATCGATCTCACTACAGTTCTTGACCTCCCTATGCCTGGGCTTAGGGTTGCCTGCCGGCGGTCCATTTCTGTTGGTCTGGTTACCCTTAATGATGACATTGTTCTTGTGGCCTTCAGAACTATTTGTATTTTGTTCTTATTGCCACCTTTGTCACCCCTTTTGTTTACCTTCTGACCTCCATTAGTGGACTGAGAGTCTCGACCATTGCCTGATTCCCCGGTAAGATTGCCGCCGACCTTCCTCTGAGCATTAGTGACTTTCACGGCGGAACTAGGGAGTTTGGTAAACGTCTGATCCGCTCTCGAGTAAAATTCAGCCCAGGTTAAGTCCGCTAGCTTCATTATGCCGTAGGTAGGTCCTTCAATGGATATCTCTCGTACCTTGTCCGGGTAAGATTGATGCATATCAGCGTACAGAATCTCTTGATCTCTCCTATGTAGGTTTGACCAGAAGATTGTCTGCACCCATAGTACACACATGGATAGTTTGTCAGGTGACATCTCCTGATTGTGTGCCCTTGACATGTGTGTGTCCAACTCTAATAAGTAGTGGGACACCGGCGTTCCTTCGTCCGGTGGTATTATGATCGATACAAGCAATTCCGGTCGTCCGTCGAAAATAAGTGGACGATCATCTCACTCTGCTCTTTCCACGTTTTCAGCTTAGTGATTTCTTGTTTTGCCTTCTCTTACTTGTTGTACTTGTAAGTGGACGGCTTAAAGCTCTGCTGCACTACTTCGAACCATAAGTTCTTCCGTAGATTGGCTGTAAGCATAATTTGTCCAAACTCTTTCAAAGACCTAGACAACAACGCCAGACTGCTAGTATCGATTGGATCCTTCCGGTCCTTTCGATCAGATCTTTATGTCGTCGGTAGTTTACTTATGTCCTTTACAAACTTCTTGCCTTCCACAATCACTCTTAGTTCTGAATAAATCTTAGTCTGGAAGTGCGTAGCCATTGTCATATAAAGACTAGCGGCATCAATCCTACCTAGATCCATCGCCTCGAGTGAAGCAGCCTCAGCCTTGTTCATTCGAACAATGAATTCAGCAGTTTTCAGATCACTACTAGAGTGATCTGATCCCTTCTTTTCTAACTGCATCTGACCATGCAGTCAGTTGTCCGCCTCATCCTTTGATCCATCGACCTGTTCAATGTGAATGAACGCTTCTGATGGAACAGCATCTTTTGTCGTCGTTGGGATAGCCGCTGGGGGCGAACTGTCTCCCGATGACGACAAAGGTTTTCTAGCTTCCACCTGATCAGGTTTAGGCTCTTTGGTCGGTTTTTCCTTCGGAAACACCTCTGGGGCATTCTGTGGATTTACTTCCGGTGGCGGATTTGGTTTAGGCTCCTGTTCAGATGCCATTCGCGACATTACTGTTGCGTCCAATCCAGGAAAAGATTGAGCTTCGGATGAAGAAGATCGGATTCTGTTTGCCTCTCCATTGTCTGACAACATCTCAAACGCCAATATGGCTTGATAGAGTGCCAAATGGTTTGATATCAAGTCGGGAATGTCTCCAAGAAGATACCGAATTGCGTACCAAATTAAGTGTGCAAAACTTCCATCTCTCCTAGTTCCAAATACCTTCGGTAGTATCTTTTGAAACCGGCGAAAAAGTTTGCGTGCCTGCTTACCTTCGTCAGTTTTCATTGCTACTAGCCGATTATAGTATTTAGAATCTCTAAACAAATCGAGCCCAAAATTTCTTACTGCTGCATTCATTACATAACTCGGTGAGATTGTACCATCCGGGTTGGCCTTCATTACATCCGGAAAGTACGTTCCATACGTGTTTCGAAACACCCATGCCCGGTTGGCCCGCTGACGGATAAACTCTTGTTGACCCTCCCCTTGGATATCAATCTGAGTCTGGTATGGATGGCCCATATCAAAGTTCTGTCGCCAAGCCGGTCGGAGTGGTGTTTTGGTAAGCGCAGGAATTGTGAATCCAACATAGTGTCCGAATCGTCGTCCTGATGGTGAAGTGTATGGTCCACATCATCCGGACCTATATCCATGAAACGCAGTTGTTCCTCCGCTACGTTGATTTGGGGTTGATCCAACAGTGTTTGTGCTATTGGCACATCTTCCGAGTCATCCTCCCCTGATTCACCATGACCTTGATCCTTCGCTGCGGCTTGCTTTTTTTTCGCTGCTTAGTAGGTCTCAATTCATGTACCATTGGTTGGTAGTTCTTCAGAAAGGTTCTCCTATCCCTTGCTATCATATGATAAGTAGGATCTTGCCTACGTGCTGTGCGCGTGTCCACTGGTGGGGATGATACATCTGATTTCAGTGCATGTCGCACTTCCTCTGAAGTTTTCCGAGCATTGCGTTTTCTCGGCTTTTCCCTTTCGAGATTTCGCCTTCTTCGCTGGTGGCTTCTATGGCTCCGTAGTCACATTACCTCCGGATGCACCTACACCCGAGTCAACCAACTTCTTATGTTTGCGTTTAGTCAGAGTTGGTGCCGGTTGTACCGGCGTGATCTCAGTTGCTTCAGCTTCTACTGATGGTGCCGGGGGTGTTTTCTGCTTTTCTTCGCCTACAATAAACCTTTTCGCGTTTGCAGCCTTGGCTACATTCGCTGCCTTATTTTTCCCTTTCGTCATAATATCGATAGCGTATTTAAACTTAAAAATATGTTAAAGTCGGTCACCTCTAGGCTGACTATACGATACCAAGACGTTTACGTTAATAAGACAATACGTTAATACGTTAAAATGCAAAATGTTAAATCAGTTTAGCTTCAGCCCTTGGTAATGAGCAAAAGATTAGGAGATTTTAGACTGAGACTATTGTCTATATGCTCCGCTCTAATCGCTCAATACTTCGGTCTAGATTTATTTATGTTTTAGTCACTAAGACTAGATATCATTTCATTGGACGCATAGTTTACATTTCACGCCTCGAAACAATTACCTAATCGAACTAACCAATAAAATACCTCTAAGTCCAACTTAAGAAAATAAAAAATAAAATCAAAACACCAAGCTGGTGCAGTATACATCTGCACCTAAACCCCATCACTTGGTACCTAGCTCCCCATCCCATTTAAGGCATAGAGGGCACATCTAGTTGGCTGGCTAGGAGGAATCAAAACCATGTTGTCCTAAATTCTAACAACTCTGATCCTGTCCTTTTCTCAGTGGATTATCTTGCTCTGAGGTCATTATCGAATTATACCATAGGTTTGTACCAACAACCATTTCATGCCTGAGACCCTCTCGCATGGTACTTCCATTAATTAGAGATTCCTAAAGTGTCATTTTCAGGTGTCAGATTGGTGTCGTTCCTATATTACGTACAATTCTAATTTCAGTGGAAAAACCAATCTATATTTGGAAAGCCACCTAATTGTCCACAGTAGAGTCCCATACTCTACTGAGTACTCTCAGTTCTTGTTCATGTCCAATTCGTTAAACGTATTCAAGTATTATAAGTATAAACGCTAATACGCTAATACGTTTACAATATACGTTAACTGTGCAACTATTAAGAACTCGCTATTTTTACATTTGTGTATATCTGGTAACTATCTATCTACAACTTGTTCGTGCCGATATGTGTATTCGTGTAAGTCTGTGTATACGCAAACTTCACGGGCTGCCAGTTCCCACCCCAGCAACCAATCAAACTTGGTGACCACCGCCCTGAACCTCCCGATAACATGATGACGTATGACGCATATCACTGTTCCTCAGGACACCGTAGCAAATGTACCACAATCCGTATGGCTCGCCAAGAAAGCATTACACTCATGTTTTCACCTCCTCATCACGTCAGTAACGAAGACTGGATGATCCACCCTTCTCTTTTCGCTGCCTCTATGAGTGCTCTTGACTCCTCGCCCACTATTGATATGTGCATCCAAGCACTCGCACCAATTGCCCCGATAAGTTGCCCCCGACGGCTCTGGAATTGCTCTCGACTAGCGAAAAGTCCTTGTGCACCGTGGTGGGACATATTTCTCGCACACAAGCAGACTCAGCAATATATTATCCAGAATACTACTTCAACATTTCTTCGGCATAAGTCTACTGCTGTCGGATAGCGCCCACCTGGCTCTACACCCTGGTCACAATCCTCGGACCGATACATTCTCACGTATCCCCATCTGCTGACTTTTGCACTGCGATCGATTACATTCAAGCCAACACAAAATTCCCTAAGCACTGCAACACATGTATTACTGGCAAGATCCATGCTACTAGTATCAGTCATACCAGCACAAACACACCATATGGCCCTGGCGAACGTTTTAATATTGATCTTCAAGGCCCCTTACAACCTGACCGTGATGGCAACGAATATGCATTCAATATGTTCGATGCGGGATCACGCTTCGGTCTTAACGCTCTTCTCCCACACCAAGCTTCTATGCATCACAATGTCGACGATCTCCTCACTCGCGTCCCTTCTCGATGGGTCGTTAGTACGATCATCGCCGACAATGACCCTATATTCCATAGCCAACAGGTCAAGTCCATGCTCACGTCTCGCCGCATCGAACTCCATGCACACCCTCCTTACTCCCCTCAAACAAAACGCCAAAGTTGAACGCCCGCACGACTCGCTCAATAACTTTGTCCTTGTCCTGCTTATGGAAACTGGGATGCCCCTCTTACTTTGGGGCTATGCTAAGTCCTTCGCGGACTACATCCGCAACACTAAGCTTGCTCAGGATGAGACACTCCGAACTCCATACCACACATTCCTCCAGATTGACCCCAAGTGCAACCCAAGAGCTCGTTTCGGCTGCGTCGTTGCTTTCAAACTCCATGGCCCTGCAGCGAAACGACATCCCAAGTATCTCCCAGCCATCGGCCATGGTGTTCTTCTTGGCTTCAGCACTAACTCCACCCCACACTGATATATCATCCGAAATATGACTATTCAGATGTTGATGAAGACCCAGGACTTACAGTTCTACCCCGAGAAAAACTCACAATGATCCCCAGATGGCAAGACAGCTACTCGCTCCACCCACCCGTTTAGTTATCATATACCCGCCAACTGCTCTGCAACCGACCCTACCCCCTTTGCTGGTTCCCCTTCTATCCCACCTGGCCCCAGTACTTCTTCCCCTCTCAACGATATTGAGCCGAAACCTACTGACGCCCACTTTTCTTCTCAGTCAACACCTGCCACTTCCTCCACTCCACCACCGGATCCCGTGTTCCACACACCACATGCATCACCGTCCGAGTTCGCACCTCCTCCTTATCTCATTAAGCAGGAACACTTGCCGATTGAAACGGTCCCTGCCTCAGTCCCTTTCTCCCCTCCACCACCCAGCATGCGACTCTTTCCCCCGACATCAAACAGGAGACCCATCATCCTGCCCTTGATTCCACAGCTATTCGGTCCCCGCCTACTTTCCACCAGGTCGACTTCCCCTCCGAGTCTGTTCCGGCCGCTATCCCCTTCTCCCCTATTCCCCCTGTACTCCAAGAGACACTCCCTGTGGAACTCCTCCCTGTTCCCATACCCTTCTCAACACCCCCTTCGGTACTGTGGGAATATCTTCCCATAGACACCCTCCTGGTATCACTCGCATCTTCCCCTTCCCCTCAACCCACGCCCCTCTACTCTTCGCGCCCCCCACCAACTCCGGTATCCTCACCCCCAACTACTCTGCCTACCTCCCGTGGTGTTATAACCAGCCCCTTACGCTACGCTTCATATCCGCCAACCCACCTTCCTGGTACCCCTGGTCCACCCTATAGGTCGCCTCTACCCCCCTCCCAACCCTTGCTGCCATTTGCCCCACCTCCTGTGTCCCCCCCCTCATCCCTCGGACACCCACAATCAACCCTCATGTCCTGGTCCCCTTCCATCCCCTCCCAGTTCGCTTCCGGACGTTCTCAATCCCACGAACTATTTCCCCCTCACCACCACAATCCACGATCCACCCGAACCTGACTCTACATTTGCTTGTGTTCGATTCCTCCAGGCCTGCCATACGCTATATGCATCCACCCCATGTTACTTTACCCCGTATGTTCGGAATGTCACCCCCAGTAACCGCTCTGATATGACGCTTACCAAAGCTGCCACACTCTTCGACCCTACTGTAGCCAAGTCTATCGCCTCCGCCCGTAAATCTTCTTCTTGGCCGTCCTGGAAGGCTGCCATCGATACCAGAATCATGCTACAAATGAAATAGCTGAAGTGGTCCCTATTACGTCCGTACCCCCCTCCACCAAAATCATCCATAGTAAGTATGTTTTTGCCTTGAAGCATGCCGAACACGGCAATCTCTCCCACTACAAAGCTTGGATGGTCGCTAGGGGCGACCAACAGGAGCATGGTGACAGTTATACGGAAACCTATGCACCCGCCGCTCACGCCGCCGCTTTCTGTATCTTCTTCGCCATCGCTGCCTTTCATAGCCTCCAGGTTTACCACTTGCGACGTGACGTCTGCTTTCATATATGGTAAACTTGACACTCTGGTGTATATGCAACCCTCAAAGGGGTCATGTGATCTTGGCAATTACCACCCTAATATCGTCCTTAAGCTCCGTCGAGGCCTCTATGGCCTGAAGCAAGCTGGCCGCATTTGGAATCACGACATTGGTGATAAGCTCAATCTTGCTGTCTTTACCCAGTCTGCAGCGGATAAGTGTATTTGGATCCACGCTTCTCGTCGCTTCGCCTTAATTATATATGTTGACGAAATACTTCCTGCTGTCCGATCTCTCGCCGATGTCCTCTGGCTTTTTGATATTCTTAACCACTACCTCCTCACCAATCTTGGCCTGGCCCGCCATGAAGTTGGCTTCCGCATCATTCATCGGTCTGACAGTTCCATCTCCCTCCTTCAGGATGCTTACATTAAACGAATGCCCGATGTTTTTAAGCACGCGACTTCCCCATTAAACCGACACCTGGTACCACACTGCACCCTAACACTTTTACTGGGCCTCCCTTCTCTGGCAAATACCGTAGCCTCCTTGGTGCAGTCAACTACGCTGCCAACATGACACGCGTAGATATCGTCTGCTTCCTTAGCCAACTGGCTACATTCAGCAACCAACCACTCAAGGAACACTACACAGCCCTACTCCGCATTCTACAATATCTTGCGGGCACTATCGAAGTCGCTCTCACATACAGACCACAGACACATTCTCAATCAATCGATTTTACACTTCTATCCTACAATGATTCTGACTGGGCATCGTGCCCCATCATACGCAAATCACACACTGGCACACTCATATGTTTTGACCACACCCCAGTTTATTGGAGGTCACAAAAACAAAAGACTGTTTCTATCAGCTCTGGCAAGGCTGAATATATAGCAGGCTCCAAAACTACGCGTGCTATCGCGTGGCTCCGTTACATCATGCATACTTTCGGGTACACACTCACACTCCCTACCAAACTACACATCGATAACTAGAGTGTGATCAAAATCGCACTCGGTACAGGCACACCCACAGGACTTAAAACACATCGACATAAGACATCACTACATCCGAGATTATGTACGTCAAGGAATGACTGACTTACACTACATATCCACACAGAACAATCATGCCGACGTACTTACCAAAAGCCTAGCTCGTCCGACACGTGTGACATGTTGATGCGCGATCAATCTTCATCATCTTCCTCTAACACGTAAGAATACGTCAAACCTAGTTTATGGCATCTGTGACGGTTTTTATCTCTGTCTCTTTCGGAAAACCCAGTTTAGGGTCTAGACCTTATTTCCACTCGTTCTACTCTTCTACTTATACTACTATGAACTCTACTCTAGTTTTTACGATATCTCTAAAACCTAAATTACTCTGCTTTTTCTCTCATTGCTGAGTTCGGGCAGTAGTATTTAATTATGAGAGATATTATTCAATTTTACTTTACTATATATTTACTAGTTTCACTAAATAAATACTCAATCGGTGTAATTTTAATAATTGACAAGTTCATATAATGGGCATTACAGGTTCAATATACACAGTGTATTAACTATTGTTAGCGTTTGGGTTTTAGTATTGAACCGCCACTTTTATGCAGTTCAGACCTTGCAGCCGATAAACTAATTCGTTGGGAATGCTCAATTCTATAATATAGCTTTGTCATAATCACTCTCGACAATGATATTGATTTGATTGCCAATCCGTGATTTCGACGATTTTCTGGGTACATTTCAATGTATGCTTTCACCAGCGACAGGCTTCTTGTGAGAGTTTTCGTGCTCAGTAAAGTTTAACATGCAGATGGCTCAATAACAGTATGTAGCTTTGATATGCCTTTATCTTGTCCCTTATAGTTTTCCATTTCGGAAAAAACTTAGAAGGATTCATCTCAAAAATAGAGTAATAAATAATTGCATAGCCTCCATACGTAAAGTTCTGTATGGCGATTTTAGTTAGAAATGATCTAAATATGTCCCTTATACTCACCGCAGACCTAGCTCACAAACTTCGAAATTCGTTAACGTATGTATATTCATCAAATGTACCAAATGATCTTCGCGGACCGGCCATCGAGCTACACAATCAAATGACATGAAGTATAACCTCTGCGAATAAACCGTAGACCCGTTTTCGAATTATCGCATTCGATAACATATGTACATTCTCAAAATATATCAAATGCATGCCGCAGAACCCGCCATTGAACATGTTTTTCGGTCGCGGCTATGTATAGTGAGAGTTTGGCGGTATATCATTTCCAGATAAAGGTTTTGTTGTAGACTACAAATCACTTTTCTGACCATGTGAAAGCATATATCTACTGAATCAGACAAGGGCAAAATAAGGAAAAGTTTGACGATGCCTCGCCTCCAACCGTATAGGTTCCGTTGTAAACTACATGGCACTCACACTCATCCTGTCGGGGTGCGCTTTTACTGAGTCAGACAACATCGCAATGTCAATTAAGTTGTCACAATTTCGTTGACAATCTCGAATACATCGGGTAGCAATAGGTTAATTGATACTCAAGAAACGAGAGGATCCACGCTGGACTGAACAGCCCTTTCGAAATTCATTATTACCAATCACTTCAAGGTTGTGATATCGTGGCATTGCTCAAGCGAACAACTACTGAACATTATATTCGATCCACCTCTGAAAGCCTGGTACTCCTACCCATATACAAATCGTGGCAGGATGTGATAGCGGAAGCTAGAATGAAGGGTTCTTATCCCAAAATTGAGAACGTGTATATTCCACGCACCCATAATTTAACTTTTCTCATACATTTGCCTGTTTTGGACAATGCGCTTTGCTTCTGTTACCGCGTACCATGTGTTTATGATACTGGCCCCACTCACTGAGCCGGAGTAATAAAATTAACTTATCAGCTTGAATAGAGATTTTCGATCGAAAGCGTTGCTTCTCTTTAGTAAATCGATCGACACCACTGCTGCATTGAAGATCGATTTTTATATGAGACACTTGTCTGAGGGTGTGTTTGTGGGGTTTTGGGAGTTTTGCGGGGCTTGGGGTGGAGGGACATAAATGCATCAATATAGGCCCGAGAAAGGTCCCGTAGATGTGTTCTCTACATGCAACTACAATAAAAGTATACTATACCTTGTATAATCATCTTAGAGACTTGCTTTGCGACCACTCACCGCTTCCACTACCCCAAGTGGCTGTCGATTACATATAGCGACTCAATCAAGTAGCATGTGAACTACTCGATCAATTAATTCAATATGCACTGTTTGTGCTGCTCTAGTTTCTAAACGTTAAATACTCAGGAAGGTTGGTATTTTTCAATAGTATCTCATAAGAGGAATATATAAATTGCGACAAATTATGGCATTTGCTGAATCAGAATTACAGACGATGAACAACTAATTTATCTGAAGCTTTTTGCCATGCTTCCGGTCAAGACTATTTTCCGATGAAAATGCATCAACACGTAAGGTGCGTAATAGGCACTCGCCTCATCGCTAGATACTTGAAGGAGATAAATTGAGATAAATTGAGGCGTACGCTGAGACAGTGTTGCTTTTACTGACGATGAACAATTTTTTATTTTAAGCCCTTTGCAATGTTACGGTCAAGCCTGGTACTCGATGGAAACTCGTCAACACATATTGAGCGCAATAAGCACTCGTCATTAAAACCCTGAAGACATCATACACACAGCAAAAAAAACCCACAACAAATACTCCCAATATTGGGTTCACAGCTTCTTCACCAGGTTCAGCCCCTATATTTTACATACTTACCAGTATCTCGTTTAACCCATAGATAAACCCACTTCTTGTGTGAAACACTACATCTCACTGAGCAACCAGTTTCAATCCGAGGTGATATATAATCATTTATGTTGTTTTAGATACTCTAGGCGTTAATATCCGAGGGTTCGCTGGCGATATCTGAATTCACTACAATTCTACAGCTCTATTTAAGAATCTCCATGTATCAATTCCATGGGATGGCAAAATTATACTGGGAACAATTTAAGCGCTATTTACTCTCTATCGCTTCTAAATCTAAACACAAATGAGATTTTTGAATGCAGTTTATAAATGATGACGGACACTTTAAGTTTTTGTTTTAGGCGGTCAGATGCTATCAAGAAGGTTTTCATTTGAATTGAAAGTACATACAGCAGGTTTTAAACTCCCCACATCATCTTGAAGTGGTAATTAGGCCTTGTCGACGAAGATGGTTTGTTATGTAAATTTTCAAAAATCTTAATGCCGATGAAATTTTCTATTTTTTTTGTGCCTAGGCCTACAAAAGTAACTCATGATATATACGCCCATAGGGCTTATGTCCATAATAGAAACATCAGTAAAAGTTCATACAGGACGATATTTATTACATACAATAGTAGACTACTGTACAACAGGTAAAAGCTTGAAAATAGAACATTCCCTATTGAATTGATCACATTGTATTTTGCGTTGCGTACGACTTTTACACAACGGTACTGTCAACTACTGAAGTCGACATTCAAATAGTCGCAGTTATGTATGGCGGTACACTTGTACACACATAATGAGTTGGAAGTATAAAATATGTTGGTGTGTTGGACCGAGCTTAAATACACCCCACTCAACGCTGATAATAACAAACTGGCAATTGCCAAATACGTGAAGGCAACTAGAAAAGGGCACGAGATATGACTCTTGCCAAGTTTAATGTCAAAGAGGAGTAGTCTAGCCAAAACTGCTTTATATTTACTTCAAACTTAGCGAGAAGCGTAGACGTTGCTCAGCTATTCATACTACCTTCCTATTAAAGATTGTGCATTTATGAGAGCGAATTAAGTCTCATGAATTAGCTAGATCGATTATGGAACTACATAAACTTCTTAGAGGGACTATCGGCTTAAACCGATGGAAGTTTGAGGCAATAACAGGTCTGTGATGGAGTTCCAGTCCTTGAAAAATTACTAACACAGTAAAACACGAGAGAATTAAAATGTAAATCACTGGCAATAAATAGGAAGCTCCGCTACACTTGATTTTTATTCACTACGAATATTAAAGCAAAAAGCCAGATAGTAGGCAGTTATATGTGACGGCATCTACTACAGCCAATCAAAATAGTGTGGATAAATCTCTGCTTCGTAGGTCACATAAAAGGGTACCGGCCTTGTGGACACGTGCGTAGATAGTCAGCGACGTCCATATCAATCACTATATTGTCTGAAAGACCATGAGGGGAATGCTTATACATCAATCGCTATCGAACAAATCCAACCAGTTTAGATGACAAAGTATTGGATATGAGAAGTCTCACTACATCGGCCGCTATATTTCTGGCGTAGAACTAGTTGCCTAATAATTGAAAGAAAAAAAGAGCTTGGAGTGAACTAATTTAGAGGGCATAGACCAAATTAGCTTGTATCCATGCTCACCGTTGCTCTAATAGTTCGGCTTGGGATTGTATGGATTGTATGACTGATAGTCAATTATTCCCGTAAGGTACACGTACGCGTTGTGATGAGGGTCCGGGTATATTCGGCTTCTAAAAAGGGGTGTAAATTTTATAATCAGACATCCCAAACATTTAATACCAGTTGACTAATGAGAACGAAATTTCAAACCGATGCCAAATTAGTTTTACAGTTCTTGTGGCAACATTTGCACCATTTTACGATGTGTTTAATTTGTCACAGGGAAAGTTTGAAGACGATGTCGAAAACAGTAATACAAGCTAGCTGGTGGCTAATGTGGCAACACCTGTATAAACGAGGATTACGAAAAAAGCGAGCATGTCATTTGAAGCGTTGGCTTTGGTAATATGTCAATCCAACAAACTGAGTAAAATCCGGCCTAACATCATCTGTCAATCACATTGTACTTGGAAGCGAACGCTGATCGAAGGAAAATTGAAGAAACAATAACGCTTTGCTGCGTAGCGCCACTAGTTGATAGTGATTCTTAGATAGTTTGTAAATTGATGCAGCAGGCACTCTTATATGTGAATTCGTAATAGGCGTAGACAACCAGCTCAGTACGATGCAAAGCGGCGATCTTTCAGACATATTGACCCGATTTCCATCACAAAGTATTGCGCTGCGTGTAGATAGCTATTAATATCACGGCAAATAGTACTATTATAGACAAAATACCTTTTATGACTGTTTTGCACATGTCAGAACAAGTCCAGGATGATCTGGCTTAATTACGGCACATTGTACTATTATGGACTGAGATTTTTTTTTATGCTTGTTTTGCAAATGTCAGAACAAGTCCAGGATGATCCGGCTTAATTAAAAATCCTTGTAGCCCCGTCTTTGCGGCAGCAGCCATTACATCATCTTCGAACTCAACGAAAGACACGTCAGTCCGATTTGGAATCATTCGCACATCCTTCAATCCAGGGAATTGACCAAATAAATACCTCAACATTTCATCTGTTGTTTCCTCTGGCAAATTTAGGACGAGCAGAATTCTGTACGGTGGGTTCTCATCTACATCGATGGCTGGCGTGGACGTGGATGTCGGGTTTCCTGATGAACAGATTAAATGAACAACACGAGTCCGTTAGTGGTGTGAGAGCTAGTCTCGTAAAAACGTGCAGCATCGAAAGTAACTATGTTATCATCGCCTTAAGGATGCTCGATTTACCTGATGCGGGATTCTTCGGCTTGGCTTGTGCCTTCTCTTTGTCCGCTAAATTTTTATCGCTTTTGACTTCATAAATTTGAAAAATAAATTTGGAAGGGAATCAAGGTGATGGTGATGAGAAAATAAGTACATTATATATATATATATATATAGACATATAAAGACATATATATACACACACATATATACATACATATAAACCAAAATTCAACGTACAAACAGTTAATATCAAATTCTGTCCAGCACCGGCCCATTGCGGAACCTGTACGTTCTATTAAACACGCTGACTGACTCAGGAATACGATGTAAATCATTGCTTTCGCGTCGAGCTTATGTTTAACATTTACCTATACTCGTGTAACCTGCTTTCTTTGTAGTCTTCTTCCCAAAAGTGCCATCCATGATAGCGACGGCATTGGATTTATTCCTTGAGTAGTTGAGCCGCTTTATAGAGGGAGAAATGACATCAAGAGAACAAAGTCAGCACGAGATAAAACAGATGATGAGGTATATAGTATCACCAGCATACACGATAGCTGACTGCCATATGTTGCTGCTTGTGTCACTCGATGCCAACGACTAGAGTTATTTTCTCATACTTCAGACAATACACCTATATTATTTAATAAAAACCAAGACCTTCTCACCAGATGCACGAATAATACGACGTCGGAGAATAAAATACACGTAGCAACGATACGATTCAATTTCGCGACAAATAAGTATTCTGTGCAATTTCCTAGAAGATCTGATAAGAGAATAAAGAATGCGTAGCAATACGATTCAATTTCGCGATGAAATAAGTTATCGGGACAACGGACAACTTCCTAGAGAAGCTGTGCAGACTACACCGAACTTACGATCTGTCGGTCATATAAGGTAAACCCGTTGAGCTGCGAGACTGCCCGTATAGCACTTGCAGTATCTCTAAATACAACCCACGCTTGTCCACGAAGCTTTTTCGTCTTCAGAGCGACAACGTCTAAAATTGGGCCATGCTGAGAAAACAATGAATACAGTGTGCGGCGTAGCTCTGTTGGAAAAAAAAAAAGACATAGCAGATATTTGAGCACGGCCATCATACGATCCAGGTAAAATTTGCCCCGCATTGATGTCATAAAACACACATACTATAACACGGAGAAGACCCGCATTGGAAACTATTGTGAAACTTGCATATTCAATTCGAAGGATGCTAATGCGGACCAGACAGAGTCCAGAGGCAGCGCAAAACAGTATTGTGAGCAGTTATATGCGTTGCGAGTGAAAAATCTAAGAGTCACTTTCTTTCATATGCCACTAGGAATGTGTATAGTGAGAGATACAAATAATGATATACATAAGTTCAATATGAATATGTGATGACATCGATAATTCTACTCACAAGCAAATAAAACACTACACTCAGTTCACCCTAAAGTACGCTGACCAGTAAATAAAGGTATTATAAATATGCTCAGTTGACAAATACAAATGTCGAGTCGACTAGTATAAGAAGCCGGATCCGATATCTACATATAACATTCTGCAGCGTTTGTAAGTAGACAATATAGGTGTATTTACGAATTGAATATAACTGTCAGTTGTATACGCCAAGCTTGATCACAACCAAGATGATCATCGTTTAGAGCGAAGGAAACAACATACACACATGCGAATACTAAGCTATAACAACAGTAAAGTATATATATCAACGAATTGAAGTATGCCAATATTTTTCTTTATCAATTGACAGACATTGTACATGAATGTACCTGTGTACGTAGCCACGAAAAGAACTAATTAATAATATAGAGACTATTGCGCATCAGAAACAAAAACCACCCCATACTACACACAATACATACATACATACACACACACACACATATATATATGTTTCGATCTATCTATATATATATATATATATATATACATGTATATATATATATATATATATACACACACACACACACACATATATATTTAAATTTAGATATATATCAATATCAATATCAGTATCCATACCAATACCAATATAAATACACACACACACACACACACGCACACACACACATATATATATTCATACATATAAACATATACATGCGTACGTGCATAAATATGTGTATGCTATATAGATATAGATATACATATACGTGTGCATAGAAACACATGCATAGGACAGCGCATACAAAACACATACGTGTGCACACACATACAAACAAAACACAACACATCACAACCACACACATACATTAAATATAAAAATATACGTTAGCATGAATGTATACGTATACTAATACATACATATGATACATAAATACATATATACATATATACATTCATACATACATAGCCAAAAACACACACGCGTGCGCACACAGACAAAAAAACACGCACATACAGAGCCAGATACAATAGATATGCTTGGGACATATATATATATATACAAAAATACTCAATATATAAATATATATGAATAGGTATACATTTGTGTTTATCTTTCACACATCCAAACAGATTTAAAAATGATACATTCCTATGTGAAGATATAAATAGATATAAATACAAATATATCCATACATATAAACATATATATATATATATACATATACATATGAATATGCATATACACATACATACGTACATACATATACATATATACATACATTCATACAGACACACACATATATATATGTATATACATTCATATATACAGATATTTATATATATATATAAACATAGGTAGATATGCATTTATGTAGAAAAATAACACTTATGTCGTGTATTCATATATATATATATATATATATATATGTATATAGGCACACACAGATACATATGTGCATACGCACATACATACATAGATACATTCACACATTCTCACCCACACATAAAAATGAATACATATACATAGATACACTAACATTCATAAATGCATACATACATACATATTTACACACATATGTATATGTATATGTAAAAATACATGTTCATGTACAAGTACTATACAGACATACATATATACACACGACACAGATACACACGCGCCCTCACACACACAACACTAGACTCACCCACTCACTCACCCTTTCCAGTCACACACAGAACAGACACGCCCTCTCTCACACACAACAGACACACCCATAAACACACACAACAGGCACATCTACCCACCCACCCATCCATTCACACACACAATAGGCACATCTACCCACCCACCCATCCATTCACACACACAATAGGCACATCTACCCACCCACCCATCCATTCACACACACTAAAATAAGTA